ATTAAAAATCCGGATCTGCCTGAATTGTAGCACAGAAGTGGGGGGCCTTCTTCACGGCAATCCAGGTGGCTCTGCAAAAATTTTGAACCAGTGACATTATGCGCCAGCTCTGGAGGGTCTGTTCAACAATTCTCATCCTGGGTCTCTCACTCTCCCCCACTCTGTTTTGGGTCTCTGAGACATTTTCCGCATTTCGGAAAGGATCTGTGTTCAGGATTAGCCATTTCCCCCATTGGGGATTATCCTTCAATGTAGTGGAAGGATTTATTTTGCAGTGGCAACCCTTCCGCTTTTCAAAATCAAGGGGCAGGGGATTTCATGATCGTTCCAGTTTTTATTCTGGCAGAGAGGGGACCCACTCCCTTGCCTCCATTAAGGCTAAGATGACGTCTTTGGCGGCTGAAGGCGGGCCACGTACTGGGGGAAAGAAAATCTAAAAGTCCAGCAGCAAAGTCTTCTCTTTTAGATATTTGCAGGCTGGTCCAACCTCTTATGCATGATCTCCAGGTCATCCACCCCTCCCTCTTTCTGATCGACGGTGTTCTCTTCCCTCTCCCCCAGAAACCCAGACCCCTATGAGGACTTTTGGTACTGGCAGGACTTCCACAAACCACCTCCAGAATGGTTTTCAGGCCCCGAGATGAAAAACAGGCAGCGCCGGAACCAAAGGATCGTAATGTACTGTTTGCTTATAATGTCTGGAAGCCTGCTGATTCACTACATATCATACCGGTACGGTATATTCAGCCTTCCTCTCTTGCCTTATGAGCACAAAATTACCCAGCAGAATATCGCAGGTTTAAATCCTTAGCTGAGGATTTAGTATACGGTGCCTTGGACATATTTAATATTTTCCTTTGGCGATGAAGGGGAAACAGGCTCTTGGAAAACCCTCTGATTATCTTCTCCCCACTTTGCAGCCCGGCTGGATGGGAACCCAGTTTCAAGCCTCTGATTAAACACCCCTAGCACAATCTGCTTTCCAGGAATTATTACCCATATTCCATGGCCTGCCCTGTCAAACAAATCTTGCTTTTTTAGGTGCTTGGGCTCTGAGCTGGCTTCTCTTCCTGGTTGTTTATATAGCGCCGTCTTGATTGGAGCGCGGTTTATACTTTGATCATCCCAACACCCAGATAAGCAGGAAATGACACCAGATAAACAAGCAGGGAAGAAACAATCGGTCAAAGACTTCTTAAGGAAGAACCCACACCCCAGCCAAGGCTGGTAGGGCAAGCTGTTCTATATAAACAACCAGCCAACTTCACTCCCCCATGCACTGATGATGTCGCTTAGCCTGGTGACGAAACGTCTGCGGGAAACAAGCAAGCTCAGAGAACCCCAAGAACCCACAACCCAACCCTGAGCGACATATGTTCGCCACACTTTTGCCTTCTTTAGAGTAACAGCCTTTCAGTTTCTCAGAGCAGGCTAACCATATTCTCCATCTCAGTGTAAGCTTCTCCAAGTAATCTGTCCCCAGCCTCTTGACTCTCTCGTTGTAGGACCTAATTTCCAGCCCACTAATCCAGTCCCCATTGCTCTTCACCCAACCCTTGTTAAAGTGTGTTAACCAGGACAGGACCCAGGAACTCAAAATGGGCTCCGATTCATGCAGATTATGATGAATCGTTATGATGAATCATTATGATGAAGGAGAGCCCAGCTCTCCTTCTGTTCCTGCAGCTTAAATCTCCATCACCTTGTGTCCCCAGATTTATATTTTTTAAAATATCTTTATTATGTTTAGATTTATGGGGTGAAATCGCTTTGGGGAGACAGATTGGTTTGCTTTTAGAGCCTACAAAGAGCTGATAGGCTCTGTCAATGTTGCGCCACCAGGATTTACCACCCCTCCTTTGCTTAATTTCCCCCCCTGGGCACGGCAGCTTGCCAACCGTAGCTACCCGCCGGCTGGCTCTTTATTCTAATCCATTGCCTAATTAGCCAGCTGTGACCAGGGTAAGATGAATCAGGAGTGGCCTTTAATCAAACCTAATGCAATTAAACATGCCCACTTGAGCCTGAAATAGGAAAAGACGCTTAAAGAGAGCTGGGAAGGGGAATCGAATCCTGTGCCCAGGTGAGCAGCAGAAGGGGTCCAGCCTGTCGACACCCCCGATGGAAAATGCAACTCTCATCGGCTGCCCAAAAGGGCCTTTTGGAGCCTCGCTCTCACCCAAACAGCTGTGTGAGTGTGCGAGTGTGTTTTACCTAGTAGCCACCAGCAATCAGCGCTCACTCAAGCAAGCATTTTCCGTCTGTCAGCATCCAGTGAGGCAGCGTCCTTAGGTGATGTAATGGGCTGTGAGAATGACCTTGGGAGACAGGAGGAAGAGCCGCAGCCTAAACAACAGTCTGAGAACAGAAAACTGAGTCCAAAGCAAAAAACCGGGTGCAGCAAGCATCTCAGAAGGGACCTCCCTAGTTTTCCAGAGAGTAAAATGAAAGGAGGGGAGAAATATTTTCAGCCTTGCAAGATTCTGTTAACAGAACCTTACAGTAAAGTACTCCTGGTGATATTCCTTTTCTGGACTACCTCGCAGGGCTAACCTAACGGGAACTGAAAACATGGGCCCCCTCACCTCCTTGAGGTTCTTCCTCCTCCCCAAGCCACATTCCCCAAATGTAATGCTGAGAAGCACTCCAGATTTTTTTAAATTGATTTTTTCTTTGTTTTAAAACAAGAACAAACAAGGAAAGCGAAAACAAACCGACTAAAATAATTATAATGCAAACTCTCCAAAGATTTAAACTTTGGGGCTTGTATAGCAGTATGGAATTCCAGCCTGGGGAGGGAGGCGTATAACTTCAGGGCTGTGGAAAACAGGAGATCTCAGGAGTCGGAAGATCAGGCCGAGCTGGGCTGAGTTCCTTGTTGGAGGGAGCTGGGTCTTCTCCAGCTAAAGGGAAGCGGAGTAGTGGGAGACGTCTCTCTTGAATTTCCAAATTTTGGAACATTGCCTTTCTCCGTACTGCATGTCCGCGTCTTCCCAGTCTTGTGCTAGTCTCTGAACATCTTCTCTTCCTTCTCACTCCCCACCCACAATTTATTTATTTATTTATTTATTTTGCAGGCAGGTTGCAAAATTACACACCAGCTTGATGGATGAGAGAGACCACATGATCACCCAGGCCCTGATCAAGGCGAAGGAGCAAACCAGGTACAAAGCTGAAGGAACTTGTGCTGGGGGGGGGGCGGGGAAGAGAGACAGAGCAAGCTTCACTCCCTCGTCCCACGCATTCCCCTTGAGGAAGTGCAGTGTCCTCATTAAAGCACCGAGCGACTTTGTTTATTCACATCTTTTTATTTTTAAGTCCTGCTAATGAAGGGGAAGTATGCTGGGACCATGAAACTTGGTTCCAGCAACTCTTTCTTCCTGTTCAGATATTTTATTATATTATTTTCACCCGCCATCTGCCTCCAAACCTGAAATCTTTTGTTCCTAACCTGACACCTACCAGACAGGTTGGATTTCATGGGGACTAGGTTGAGAAAATTGTCCTAGGGGCAAAAGATAACACTTGAATCCCTCCCCTCCCCTTCC